CACATGATTTCGTTTTGTCGAATCAAGCTTGTTTTGAGGAGAGTTTTGCATATACAGCATCTTTTATTCTGTCCAGACTGATGTGACTTATTATTTTGCTTGGCTTTGCTCCTGCACACGTGAACAGGAGCATAATCCTGAGTCAGTTTTTGTAAAGACTTAATTCACCCTTCTTTGATAGTTTGAAAAGGTAGTCCTTCTTCCAATCTACAGGTGCCCTTACTTCCTTCCGAATTTTCTGTAATGGTAGCGTGAGCATATCCGCTGAGATCTCTGGATTCGTTTACAGGGTTTCCGAAGGAATACCCTATGGTCCTGTTGTCTTTCTAGTGTTCAATAACTTTATTGCATTCCAGACTTCCGCTTTTGTTCGAGATTCGGTATTCCTTGGCAATTCTGTGCCTACTGATGGTATTTCTGGATGAGTTAAAGGGGATATTCGACTCAGGAGTCCTTTGAAGTGACCACCTTATTGTTTACCTAGGTTTCTCTCTTTCGTAATTAGGTCCCTTTCACTTTCTTCTACTGATTTCCTCTGTATTTACCCCTCCCCAGGTACTGTCCCGGTAAGATGATATTATGTTTTGAAGTCATTTCTACTCGCGGCCTGCCTAATCTGCTTCAGTTGTCAGTGAGTAGTAGAAATATCTTTCGTCCTTCCCGGCACTCTTCTTCACTTTTTTATTCAGTACGTTGTAAACTGAACTCAGCAGTACGTGGGTCCCAGTGGCTCAATGGTCTACGAGCTCACCTTGTAACCAGAAGGTCCTGAGTTTGAATCCCGGTAGGTGCGTACCTTTGAAGAGTCCCAAACTAAGCTGACTAAACAGCTGTCCAGTACTGTCTGGGTTTCCAGTGGCTCTCTAACTGATGTCAGCTCATGATGAAATCCTCCATGCTCACTTATTTATCCATAAATTTTCCCTTATTCGTTTGATTTTCTAACTCCCCAATACAACTTCTGGCTCGACTACATAAGCATTCAGCTAGGTATGCTTTGATGACTTCAATTGCAATCATTGAAACCCCGAGTAGTTGTCAAAATGCAATACTGATCTGTATGTTGTATTGACTAAATTTGATCTTATTTCTGTTTTTTTAAGTATAATAGACTTAGTTCACCCTGCTGATTTTTGAAATCAGAAAAGAACCGGATTCCACCTACTAATGAATTTATGTGTGAGTAAATTAGGTTTGTATTCAGATTTCCACACAGTAAATATATCGTTCACATATTTCCACCGTACCTTAGGAGCAGGATTATATAATTTCAGGTGATTCAGCAGCAAACTCATTTGTATTTTCACAATTTTCCTTCAAATGTGAAGACTGTAGTGGTCAGAGGTAACTAAAACCAAACATTATTACTTAAGAAGATACCCTAGATCCACGTGTAACTTCAGTAATTATGTTTGGATTTTGATCACAATTTTACACCATCTAGGGAACCATTGAAAATGAGAGAGGAATGGACGACCGTTTCTTCTCAACTGGGGATCCTGTCGCATTCTAATGGACCTCTAGTTCTGATTTCTGTTGTTTCGCGAAATTATTTAAATGAAATCTCTGCAAAACATCCCTTGAAAACTAATCTGATGTTCACTGGTGAATGACTACAGTACGAAGTTGAGAAGTCATGAGCAGTGTGTGGGTGTGAGGACAAATATTCACCGATGACATTGACTGGTAGTGGTGCTATATATTGGAAATTGTCAGAATCTGTCACACTGGCTGAATGATCAAGGGGATAGCTTGGTGACCTGAAGATCATGGGTTCAGTACTCAGTAGGAACATGGGTGAGTCTTCTTGAAGAGTCTCAAACCAAGACGAAATAGCCATCCATTACTAAGTGGTTTTCTGATTGATGTCAACTGGTTATCTAACTTGAAATTAACCAGCTTTTTAGACTTCTTATTGAGTGTTTTTTGCGTACTCTATAAGTATGAGAGTGAAAAGTTTGCTCACCAGGCTATAAAGCCATGAAAGAGATCTTCTTTTAAGTTTTAATTGTTTGAACTTTAGTAACTCACTGATTTCATCAGTAACTAGTAGTATCACCTCATAAAAAGAGAGGAAATCAAAGTCTGTATTAGAGTTATTTCTTTTTGGAAAGTATACAGTAGAAAGTCTCATTGTAACAACTATAACTACACCGTGAACCTATTCCATCCTAATTGTTTTTTCCCATCAGCTTCAATTTAAGGCAGCTGAAAGAACGAAATAGAGGACATTTTACGCCACTTTATTTCAGCAGTACAAGACATTTTAACACAGTTTCGGTAGAATGATGATTTCACTTTTGTAATCTAATTCGAAACAGTAAGACGTACTTATCTATAATTAAATGTAATAATGCAATCTCTTTGTCTACAGAAGTGACACAAAGTGTTAGTTTATTTTTATTTATTTTTATTTTGATTTACAGCTTGATTCCACACCGTATTTTCAGTACAAGTATGGAATTTTCAGCATGGATATCGGTAGCCCAAATTCAGGCCGACCGTAGATATCGGGTGTGCGCCGGCAGGGGATCGAACCCCGGACCATGTGCATGGTCGGCGAGAGTCCTAACCACTGTGCCACCGACGCACATTTATGCTATGTATAACAGCCAAGTAGTAATTTGACGGATGTTCAGCGAAGTAATTACAGTTAAAGTTTAATCTCCGTCACATCTCTGTGCCGGAAAAGACAACTACCCAGTGTCTGTATCTACTTAAAACTTCGTCTGACTATCTGCTCAAAAGCAAAGATATATTTGAAATGAACGCGACTGTTACCCATTAGTTGCCCAATAAATTATGTGTATAAAGTTAAGTAATTTGTCTCTAAATCCGAATATCTCTCTTTCGACATTACTGAACAATTTATGACGACGTTTAGAAGTTGATACTTCACCTTTTTCTCAACTGACCAGTAGTGCTAATATCTAACTTAAAGAAGTATAGTAGTTCATTTTTCTTTTGAACTCAGATACATTGAAAATTCAGCGTATGTCTTTGAATGTTGCTTCTGACATTTAACTTTCAATCAGAGTTGGCTAATAAGAAATATACTGTGGTCTCTGAAGTAGGTGAAAGGATACTGTAGTGCGCTATGCATTTTCCTTTGGAATAAAACTTTGATTAGATTACCCTGCTGTATGAAAACTTTTAATATTTAGTTCTAAACTATTTTAGCCTAATGTATTATTATTGTTCCCTTGGGTTCCTAGTGGAACATAGGGCTTCAACTACACGTCTCCACTTGCTTCTGTCTTCTGCTGTACTTTTCACTTGCATCCATGTTAGTCCATACTGTTTCAGTTCCTCTTCACACGATCTCCTCCATGTCATCCTTGGACGTCCCACTCGCCACCGCTTCCCTTTCGGATTCCACTCGAGCTATGGCCTGACGCACGATGTCACCCAGCGGCCTCCTCAGCCAGTGTCCAATCCATCTCCACTTTCTCCTGCATATTTCCTGGGCGATTGGTTCCTGCTTTGTTTGTTCCCATAGTTTCTTGTTGGTGATTCTTTCTGGCCATCTGATCTTGAGTATATAACGAAGACAGCTGTTGATAAAGGTCTGCAACAGGCTGTTGGAAATATTCTTTGTGACCCGCCAAGTTTCTGATCCGTATAGAAGAACTGACTGACTTGACGTTTGTATCTAAAATCCGGCATTTTGTTGTTGATGCTGAGAAGTGACGAAGATTTCGAGATTGGTTTCAGGTTGATGAATGTGTTTCTCACCCTCCCGATTCTCAATTTGACATCCTCGTCCGTTCCTCCTGTAGTTGAGACAACGGTCCCTAGATAAGTGAATGAAGTAACCTCTTTCAAATCCCACCCGTTGATAGTGATTGGCGCTGGATGTTTCTGCTGCTGCTGTTGTTGTTGGTTGGTTATTTTCATAACCCCCGTCTTTTCTATGTTCACCTGGAGTCCTGGCTTTGCCTCTTCTTCGACCAGTTTGTCGGTCTTCGCTTGTAAGTCTTCGATTTTGTGTGACATCAAACATAAATCATCCACGCGCGAAATCCAGGTCTTCTAGGTTCTTCACGTCGGTCCAGGATATCCCTGTCTTCTCGTTTCCCCCTCTCTGACGCATATTAGCCTACTGTAGAAGCGTTGATTCTATCAGCCGAAGTAATACCATTGTCATTTGAGATTACCTTCATCACAGTGTATAATGAATTACAATTCAGGCTATTTAAAATCTCACTACACCACCAGCAATGATTATAGAGAGCATCAAATTCCAGAATAATTTCTTTTACTACATGTGGCATTAAATGGCAGACACTTCAGCCTAGTGCAAGACTTGTCATCAATGCAAATTCATGATTATACCCGTAGTGACCATCTTCATCTCACTGTAAATTTGCACTTGTGACTCTAAAATAATTGACAGCCACACAGAGCAGGCTGAATGACAATGAGAAGTAATACAATTTCCAGAAATGTTATATTAAAACGAATATAATCACATTTATACACTACATCTTCTTCCATAGAAATAAACACGCCTTCACAAAACACTGTACTTATATATATTTCTGTTACTTGTTTCTGTAGACTATTCTCTCTGTGTGTAAAAAGAAAAATAACACTGAAGAAAATTAAAGTGGAACGGAGAAGCGAAAAATTTTACAGCACAGGGATTATTCAAATATTATACAAAGTTTAGAGGAAAGGTGTGTGCATATATATGGCAAAATACAACGGTAAATGCACGACTTTTCATTTGAAGCTGATTAGTGGTGGTTTCCATTTATAATAATAAGTAATTGCCTAATAAAGTGTTTCAATAATATTTTGTTAAATCTTTTTTTCTCTAAAACAGAAATAAATTTACACTGTGAAACTTTTAAAAATAGTTTCACTAATCATCTTACATATATGTATATGTCTTAGCACATTTACTTCTGTAAAATTAAAAATAAAAGACAGAAATCTGCACATATTCATCTATTTGCTGTTAGTTTAAATGAGTATTTCTTATTCCCCAAAAATTTTCATAACCTTCTGAAATCCCCATGAAATATTCGTAGAAATGTCTTTTTGAATTGTGCATTCGCCAGTGCATAACAAAATGGATTAATAGGTGAATTCATATAGCATAGCCAGTAAGTTACACTGTAGAATATTTCATTGACACAGGTGTATTTCTGCTGAATATCATCGCATATACCTTTTATCATAATAAGTATGTGATATGGTGTCCAGCATATAACAAATGCACCCATTATAAATGTGATTGTTCTCAATGCTTTACGTGCTCGATTTTCACGTCTTCCACGTTCAATCACTTCTTGTTTTGATTTTCTACGAATTAAAGACTTTTTAACTTGTTCAACAATATTTACTGAAGGAGATTTCAATTTAAATGTCTTTAAATAGTATAATAAACGTGTTCCAATGGATACTTTTGTTGAATTGGCATTATGAGTATATGTTTGTGAGTGACACAGACACTTTTCATCACAGACAACTGGACTAGTGAAGTCTCCATAGCTTGAACTTGATTGTAGAGTATCAGAGTCTTGTTGTTGCTGTTGTTGTTGACTCATACAAATAACGCATATTTGTTGACTAATACATTCATCTGATTGTTTGCGTCTGTTGAAACACTGATAGCTTCTAATAGAACAAGGTGCACTTGCACTACCATCACAGCATACAGGACGAGATTTCCAGATTGGAGATGAATTGTTCGCAAACAGTGGGGATTGTAAATTAATATCAGCATCAGTAGAGTTAGAGCCTTCTATGTTACTACTAGAAAACTGTGCTTTCTGATTTGCTACACAATTTACAGTGCGACTTTCATTATTATTATTGCAAAGATTATTTGTAGTATTCTCAGTGCCTTTCGATGATGTAGACTCGGAAAAGTTTGAAGTATTTAGAGTGAGTCGTGAATGATTGGTGGTCAGTTTGGACTTCGATAAGCCTACATTTGTTGGCTGATCATTAGGCTTAATGCAGTTTGCAGCACGATGTTTCACAGTTTGGTTATTTAGAGCAGCTAATCTTTGTTTAAACTGTTCCATAACACGATTTTGATATTCTTGATCAGTTCCAGATTGATTATTTTCTCCACGTTTAGACTCTTTCTTCTGATTACCAATTTGATCTTGCTTTTTTGTTTTTGCATCAGTTTCGTCTTCATTTAAAAAGTCAAAGAATTCAGAAGTTGAACTTTCCTTTTTCAATTTTGACAAGGCTGGATGGTAATAGTTAACCTCAAGTCCACTGTCATCATCAGTTAACACCGGTGAGCTGATCATGAGACCAATACCTTCATTAAGCATCACAGAGGCTGGTAAAACATAACCTATATCCCCTTCTGCAGAGTCGTCAAAATTATCTGGCATTGGTTTTGATGAATCATTTACTTTTGGTTTTGGCGGGATAATGCGAACATTTTCCAAAACACCTGGTAGGACATCACACCGAGCTTCAATTTTCTGAAATGGTGAGACAGAATGCTGGATTTGTGATTCAGGTATGGGTTGTGTTACATTATGTCCCTTGATCTGTGAATACATTTTCCGCTTTTCAGCAGTTTTTGACAAAACATTAGATTTAACAGGGTTCAGTTTACCTTCATCTGAGTCGAAACCAGATGAATCTCCTGGACAACCCAAACTGCTACTGTTGGGATAAGTCTGAGCATTTGTGCCTTTCTGATTCGTGTTCTGCAAAGGATTTATTTGACTATTGATTTTCATTTGCTTGTTACTTTTACCATTTTGCGTATTGCTAGTGATTAGTCCAGAAACACGATTTCTTTTTTCATCACTTCGTCTTTGTAAGTCAGCAGCAACACGATATATCCCGACATATAATCCTAACATTACGCATAATGTAATCCAGAAATAGCATACTGTGAAGATTGTATTGAAAACAGGATCATTTGAAAACTCTGCATAACATTCATCAGATCGTCTAGGACTAACACTTGTATTAAAGTAAGGCCATCCCATGATTGTAGTAAAAAATACAGACGATGGTATTATCCATGTGATAGCCACTAAAATAAGCACTTTCCGATCAGTTCTCCAATTTCTGTACTTAGCAGGTATATGCACAGAACAGAACCTGTCAATAGTTATGATGAGTACAGTGTACTGAGATGTTAAACAGGCTGTGTAATCCAAGCTTAGCCATAAATCACATGAAAGTCTTCCTAGTGGCCATCGTCCAAGAATAAGGTACAATGTGTAAAAATTCATTGAAAACAATCCAATTAACACATCTGTAACAGCTAAAGAAGCTAAAAAATAATTCGATGCTGTTCTTAACGCTCTTTCGACAAAAAATGATGTGAGAACTAAAATATTACCAAATATTGTTATAAAACTAACTATCACTGTTAATAAACCTAGTATAACAGAAACTGGACCTGAGTAGACTACAGTAGATGTAGTAATGTTAATTTCATTCGATTCGTCATTATCAAAACTAGTTATTGTTTTCTGATCATTTGCAGCAGTATTATTTAGCTGTACGACAGCGGCTTGCTTTAAAGTTGTTTATTATTTGTTGATAATGAACTTTGAGAGTTTATGAAAGCTTGACCGGATGGAGTAGTTGAAGCCTGTGATTTATAAACTGCATTCCTTGGTACTGCATTATTTTTCATTGATGTGAAGTATTTTTGCTGATTTTCAGACCATTTCAAGTAATCCGGTGATATATCAATGGATGGTTTCACCTGGGAAATTTTAACATTGTCTCCGAGAAGCTGCAACACATTCTCACTTTTCACATTATATGCATCACACTGAACTGATAAAAAGCTGAACAGTATATTTTGAAGAAAATATAACAAACATTTCATCCTGGTTGATAATAAAAACTTTAGTTTTGATGAGTTAATCGCTGCTTCAACTTGAACTGAGTTCTGATTAGTAATGCTTATTGATAAGCTGAAAAAAATGAAACAAAAACGGAAGGCCGATTATTAGATTTAGATATACACATTTGTGTGATCATATATGTCATTTTTATAAATTGAAAGTAAAACATTAATTCATTTGACTCACTCTGGTAGTAATGCATCCACCTTACATCTTAATGAATTTCGATTTGTAATTATTACAAGAGGCGAAACTGTTTCAGCGGTTCTTCATGATGAACACTGCTGTGAGATCAAATAATAACTGATCTGGACGCAGTGGTGGTGAGAAAATCCTATATCTTTAATTCATCCTGAGCCTTTATAATGTAGTGATGTAAGTCTTCGAGTGTATTGTGTAGAACAAAGAAACTGTATGCGTTACTGTATCATCATTTGGCTCAGGAGCCAAAATGATGTAGGTCATTAGGATGAGACTGTAGAATTCCCTGTCTACGAATTTCTCCATTGAAATATCATTTGACAGAAATACATGGTTCAGTGGTAGAACACTTGCCAATCACCCACGTAGTCCGGGGTTCAGTCACTGGCCGACAAACTTGCGAACCTCTCTTACCCGGTAGTAAGCTCTGTGAAGAGGGAAGGTTTATCGTTAGGCTATCAACCCAATACCGTGAAAGAACACTGTTACTGAAACATCAAAGTGCAAGCATGAAGCCCAGTTTTTGAATCAGAATGCAGATGAATAAAAAAAATTAAAAGAGAACGTTTCATCTGAGTAACAAGTTTTTGAATGTGTTATGTGCTTCCTTAAGTGTAGTATTTAATACTTTCGGTGGTACAGCGATTATGACTCTCGCCGACCATGCACATGGTCCGGGGTCCGATTCCCTGCCGACGCACGCCTGCGAAATTTGGGTTACCAATATCACATGCTGAAAATTCCATGCTTGTAGCGAAAATACGGTGTGAAATCAAGCTATATTTTCAAGTATTGGTTTTGTAGGGATTTCGTTTGATTGCATGGAGAATTTCATCATGAGCTGACATCAGTTAGAGAACCACTGGAAAACCTGAGAGTACTGGACAGCTGTTTCGTCCTTATTCGGGACTCTTCACAGTACGCACCCACTGGGTTCGAACCCAGGACCTTCTGGTTACAAGGTGAGCTCGTAGACCATTGAGCCACTGGGACCCGATCAAGCTATAATCAAAAATATATAAAAATAAAATTATACGTTTTATGTACTGTTTCATCGATAAAACGGAGTTGTTTCACATTGGAAATTATTGAGTGAAAGGGGTTTCACTTCTGTCAGTGTAAAAGTCCATGAATTTCTTTCAGAGGTTATTTCACTTATATGCGGTTCACCTAATAATGAAGCCGCGATACATATCAGATAGTCTATTTTCACAGATGAAAATACTTCATTCTTGTTTGGAATTTTCACTTATTTCAATATATGAATAAATATATTCCTTTAATTTCTGATCATCTGTCAGCTGACCAGTCAGTCATGAGACCATATTTTAAAACTATTTCACTTTGTAATGAGTTATCTTTAACCGCTTATTGTAACGACCAACTTTATTTGATTATGGTCTGAACGCAACAAAATCGATCTCTACATTCCACTGTATAGCCAACAAAACTTCATTGAGACATCCGCTTTCAGAAAACGTTCCAAACGCAGGGAAAAGATGATTACTCTTCAATATTTTAGCGACTCTATTAAACGATAATAACATCACAACTAAAATTTATCTCAACAGTGCCGTGGGGTAGCTACTATACAGACAATGTAGGTTTCTAAATACAGAACAAGCACTGTAAGACAAAATTAGCTAACCAAAGTTCAGCTGTAAAAGGTGTCTTGGAATCGAGGAGAATATTGCCAACGAGGGGGAACCAGAATCACGCACCAAGGCTTCCTGCAGACAGTCCTGGCTCAGAATCACCTTTATTCACTCAAAAAAGCTCAAATGCTTAAACAGTCCACTACTAAATGAACCATTTCTTCCACCCTTATAACATCAAGCTTTATTGTTATTGCACTTCTTATATTTATAATCCTCTCAAATTCTTTTGTTTTTATTTGTTTATTTTTTCATAAGTAGTGTGAACATCATTTAAGCTGTGTTATAACTGTTAATTTTGTATTTCCCCTCACCATCTGCTATATCAACAGAACATTAGATTCAATAATCTATAACATGCTAAAATTTCCAAACTGAATAGACAATACTGTTTGAAACAAACTCACTGTTATTATTATTATATTTAATAATCTCATTTTGTGCTTCGAATATTTTTGACTTTATATCGTAAATGTGGACAAATTCCTCTGGTTAATTTTGTTTTTTAATTTTATTTATATTTTGAGTAAATCAGATGCAACATTGTGACGAATGCTGAGAATTCCATTCTGTATTATAAGTACTGTTTTTGGAATAAAGTAGATTATATTATTATTATTATCAGTGTACACACAACCACAAACAGAGGTATTATAACTAGAGACTAAACAAGAACAAAGGCAAGTAACAAGGGTCGAAAATCAACATGTGATATGCAAATGTCAAATTAATGATACATAGTCTGGGAGAAAGCGCACAGTAATTACAAAGTTAGCTGAAACATCTAAATAATTGAAAAATACTATAAAAGTAAATCGTCTAGGAGGTATTTTCCAAACAACTTGTCCGTTACATTTATGACCTATTATAACAGTGTATCTATAGCTTTCTCTCGCTAATTTCTGTTGGCTACTGCATGATCTAATATTATTCTCTGGCATTTATGCACGATATCTATAAGAAAACTAGTTGTTATATCAGTTTAAGTTATTGATAAAACCAAATAGATGTTAAGCTTATGAATAATTTGTAATGTGACCAGAATCTTGTCAATCTGTCAATCTCAAATGAGTTGAGTTAGGTGAAAGTAAGCTAATATTCGCTATAGTCAACATAGACTAAACTATAGTACAAAACATATATATATATAAAACATCAGAAGAGGCAGTTAGAAAGTCTGCTGACAGCAGAAATATATGGGCTTAAGAATGAGATTACTTCTTCAGAAATTATGATTATTTGCCAGTAAGTGATACTATCAGTCATTCTTAGGGTATACATATATATATGCATATGTATACTCACTGTTCATCAATTCAGATTAACTTCCTACTATCATTTTCCGTTCTCAGCATAACCTGTCAGAAGTGATTAGTAATTTACAGCCAAACAGAATACTTAGAATGGTGTAATAATTAGTATAACTTAATTAATATGTTCCTAAACATTTATGCACAAAATACTAAACGATCTTCATGCTAATCCTATTTCCACTGCTTATAAAATATATTTTTATTCTTTTTCAAAAAAAATTATAATAAATAATGATTGATCTTGTCCTGAAAATATTTTTACGCTTAATTAATCATGCATAATTACACGACATTTGATACACAATTATAGAATAGTAATCAAGGGGAGTAAATAGATCTAACAGAAGTTTAAAACTAGTACAAGTAACTAAGTAAGATAGTAGGTAAGTGAATTAATACAACAACACTTCCTGGTTTTCACAGTATAAAGTAAGAGTATTCTAAATAGTTTTCTTTTTCTTCCAAAAAAAAAACAACAGAACAATGAAAATTTGCATTTTCAGGAAGTAGTTACTGCTTATTCCCTTTTTTTTTCTTTTACTTCTCCAACTCTCAAAGGTTCTCTCTATTGATTGAATACAAAGGACAACAAGCAATCACTGACAATATTATGTATGGAATCCTTTCTCCGTATTACTGTACTGAACAGATGAAGTAATCTTTTTATATAAATGTATATGCATATATTTTTTATACATATTGAATGCGGCATAATTTATGCTTAATTAAGCTGTAATAGTTAGATACCAGTGATGATGCATTTAATCCAAGAGAGGAAAAAAAGCCTGAAGTCAATTTGATGGATGACAAAACGCAGACAGTAAGGGAATTGTCTGTTTAGTTCTCTTTACTCATTCTGCTTTCCAATGATTCTTTTTCACTGCAATATATATTAGTCTAAGTGAATGTGAGAAGAACAAATATAAATGATGTTTCATTCGCGCATTGATGTCCTACTATTCGACTCTTCGTGAATACTGTCACTGTCGACAGAAACCTAAATGATTAGAAGTCAATCGGAACGAAGAATATTCTTTTCAATAATTTCTCCTCTTCACGTTCTTACAATTATAAAATATAATATTTGTTGTCGTTACAATAACGGCCAGTTATGCGGCGGATACATTTTTAACGTAGAATAACAGATTAGTTATGGGGTGTCACAATAAATAGTCGTATTTGTGTGACAAACGTGCTCTAGGCTGAAATCGATTACAAAATATTGTAAAACGGGAGACAATGGTGGTGATTAATCATAATAGATTTGTAGAGTGTGGGGTAGGAAAATTGACAAGTCAGTTCAAGGTTCATCCGGATTTATTATTAGTGATATCATCTCTTTTCTCAATATATGCCTCCACCTGTTTCATTTCACATATTCGTCATTTCATTATGAACCTCTCATTGCAGTCTTACTATCTCCTTTTTATTACATTCCACTTTGTACTAGCCACTCACCTGATACCTTTTATAACCTTGAACTGACTTGTCAATTTTCCTACCCCACATTCAACAAATCTATTATGATTAATCACCACCATTGTCTCCCGTTTTACAATATTTTGTAATTGATTTCAGCCCAGAGCACGTTTGTCACACAAATACGACTATTTATTGTGACACCCCATAACTAATCTGTTATTCTACGTTAAAAATGTATCCGCCGCATAACTGGCCGTTATTGTAACGACAACAAATATTATATTTTATAATTGTAAGAACGTGAAGAGGAGAAATTATTGAAAAGAATATTCTTTCTTTCAGATTGACTTTTAATTCATAATATTGGAATATTCCACGCTACTAAATGAT